CCCCCTTCAATCCCTCAGCTCTCACCCAGCGATTAACCCATCTCCCCCTTCAATCCCTCTCCCCCCTTCCCCCGATTCGACCACGAAACCGCCGACCAAGAGAGGCGGACAGCTCCTTCGACCACGAGATTTAGGGCTCTCCCAGCGATTAACAAGCATCTCCCCCCTTCAACCCTCTCCCCCCTTCCCCCGATTCGACCACGAAATTCCTTCGACCACGAGATTTAGGGCTCTCCCAGCGATTAACAAGCATCTCCCCCCTTCAACCCTCTCCCCCCTTCCCCCGATTCGACCACGAAATTCCTTCGACCAAGAGAGGCGAACAGCTACTTCGACCACGATATCTGGACAGCTCCTCTCGACTCCTCCGACGCGAGCACCGACCACTCTCTTTGAATCGGTTCTCAGGTGAAATCCCCGTTCTTTGATTGCCTATTTTTGCTAATTTAGCTTTTTTTTACCTCCAAAATGATCATATAATAGTCATAGGTTATTAATTTAGCATAAAAGTTTGGATTTGTGGGTCTTGCTTAGTTTGTGAACTTATTAATTTGTTACCAAATGAAAATTAAAAAAAAAAGGGTCGTGATCTCGCTGACAGTTATATGATCGATTAAAAAGAAAACAATTTGAAGCTAGCTACAGTTAACCATTTGTAGCCTCTCGATCTGTAAATTAATTAGTTGCTAGCTACAGTTAACCATTTGAAGCTAGCTGACAGTTATTTGATCGATTAAAAAGAAAACAACTTTCACTAGTTTGAAGTAGCATCAACTTTTAGCAGATAAACGGTTCTTAATCAAATTTAAAATTTGTCAATGGTTCTCTCAATTAATGAGGGGTATCTTTGAAAAAATGTACAAAATTGGAACAAAGTGGAAAGTGTAGAAACATGGTTTATTTACAAGCTTTGATGCTAGTCATATCATCTCATTCCTTGCTTTACATTGAAATTTATTTTCTTCTTTAGGGAGTTTGGAATGGAGGAAACAAATTCAAATAGTGTAGAGTTCGGAATGGGAGAATCAAGCGTTATTGGAAGTGAAACTGCGGTCAATACTATAAATGCTCCTAAACCACTACTAGAAATGAAGTTGGACCATACATGCTACACCGTTGGACCATACATCCTACACCGTTGGACCATACATGCAAGACATCGTAACATTGGGGTTGGCAACATCGTATTTGGAAGAAACATCACCAGCTGTGAAGAGAAGATTAATTTATTAAAATCTTGGGCTTTAAGAGCAAAATTCAATAATGTGCTCGAGCTTGCATTTGATTCAGAAGAGAAGCTGCAACAACTTGATGATGTGCTAACAAATTTCATGGAATCACTTGAAGAAGAAGTTGGAGAAACTCAAGATCAAATGATGGATATTCCTCAACCTTCCGCACCCATTTCACATACAATAGAGAACATTCCTCAGATAACAGTTCGTGATCCTGATAGACCTACAAGGACTAAATGTCGTCCACGCAATACTACTAGAATCCAGTCAGGTTTAGAACAGGCACAAGAAAAGAAAGAAAGGAAGAAACGCATATGTAGCAGATGTGGTGAACTCGGGCATTATAGAACTAGCTGTAAAGTTAACTTGCAAAGGTACCATTTTCGTTTCTATTCAGTTTTAGCCCTATATAAGTTTATGAAACTTGATAGCACAAAGTCATATCTCATGATTAATTTGTCATATAATTTGCAGCTAAACATATGCACGGGTGGTGGATGTATTGGTTTGTTCACAAAGTCATATCTCATGATTAATGTACGTATGATTGCTTGTATTTTTGTGTATCAATCTTTAACAGCGCTTTATTTACTCTGTTTTTAACTTTTAACAAACGATTTATTTGATTGTGCATGTGTTTCTCTTACAGCGCTACCACTAACACAGGAAAGAGCACAATCAGCTCAGGTTCATCCACAACTCTGCCTTGGCTCCTCAAGCAATCCATGAGCAGAACTGATTCAAGTGATGCGCATTTTGTACAAGACCTCTGTCTTGTAGCTGCTAATGTATTGCTACATTTTATGTATTAAGACTGATTGTGTTAAGACTGATTCTGTTTTGTTGATGGGTAACAGTACGTATGATTGCTTGCATTTTGTTGCGCCGTAAGTATCATGCTCATCCATGTCAAACTGATCTTTTACAGCTTATTATTTCTTGGATGTTTTACAGCTTATTATTGCTGTGTCATTTTGATTGTCTTGGTTGTATTGTTTAACTCAAACTGATCTTTGATCGCCCAACGTAGATTTCTGTCTTGTTAACTGTTTTGTCTCCTTACATTGTGATTTGAGATTTTAAATAAATTCTCATAGTATGATAGTTATGATTTAGCTTTGTTGTGAGTTGAAGGATGTCTAGTTCATTTGTGTTGCATGTTCAACTTGCAGCCATTTTGGGTGCAAGTTCCATGTTGTACTTGAAAAATTTTGAGCACGGAGCTAGTTGAGACAAGAAAGTTTGAGCTTAGTTTCTGCACTATGAGAAGTAAAGAAACAAAATTCTGTCAAAATGATATTCTAGGTGCTTTTAGTGTAATTTGCTGGCAACGGTTGTGATTAGAGTACGTGTCGTGTTTCTATACTTCTATTTAATCATTTCAATGGAACTATCATCTCTGGTGTTGTCATCTAATATCAGTCGTGTTTCTATACTTCTATTTAATCATTTCAATGGAACTATCATCTCTGGTGTTGTCATCTAATATCACTTTCTGATTTTAATTTGCCAAGGGGCTTTAAAATTTCAATTCATCGGTACTACATTACTGCTTGCTTTAAATTGATATTTCAAACGCCAAGGGGCTTTAAAATTTCAATTCATCGGTACTACATTACTGCTTGCTTTAAATTGATATTTCAAACATTTCTACCTTCTGATGGTTTACTTTAGGTACAAGAGTGCAGCCTCAGAACACATATGATACAATTAAGACAAGATTTGCTGGTGGAGTGATCCAATATCTTTGTGGCTAACAATTAACCATTGCTGGAGATAACTACAGAACCTGCTCAATCTCATGTGTAAATTTGTTCTTACTTCTCACTTCTTTTTGCCTTTTGTTCCACCCTCATCTTTGTCTTCTCTCAGATGGTGTATTGTTTGCTCCCCAATCACATATATAGTTGAAGAAGTAAGAACAAATTTTTGCACTAACCTATGCATAACAACAACTCAACAACACCAGATACACAATATGTACTTACAAGATACATAAGTTCTCACAATCACACCAGATACATAAGTTCTCACAAGATACATAAGTTCTCACAATCACATAAGTTCTCACAAGATACATACGTTCTCACAATCTCACAATCACATAAGTTACTCGATACATAAGTTCTCACAATCACATAATTTTTGCAATATAAAAAAAAATACGACAACGATACATACTACAAACACTAATATTGTAAACACTGAACCTAATGCAAAAGCATAGATAGGGAAAATAGTAGTTCTTGAGCTCGATGCAGAATCAGGTGTCGGGACATAAAAAGGTGTTTGGACATGCCTTGAGTTGGATGCTGAATCACAAGTGATGTTGTGTTTATCCCATTCAACCAAAGCCTCTTCGTACGTTGCATACCCTTTATATGCGGCATTTGGGTATTTATCAACTTGCTTTTTACAGTCCTCCCAATTATTAAAAATTCCACATCGTCGACCTCTCTTCACAATGTAAAAACTCTTTCTTGCCATGGACCGCCTAAAAAATTGTGGTTTAAAAAGAAATCACAGTAAAAACTCTCTTAATTTCTTTGTTGTAGTGGCAGATTCAATTAACTTCTCTTTCACTCGCACAAACACAAATTATAAAAATCACACTTTACATTAATAATTTACATAGAGTAACAATAAGTTGTGCATAACTAAATGAGATCAAATGAAACCTATGATTATCAGCTTCTAGAATAATTGACCTGAGATTTTTCATTTGTTTTAACCATATCACCATCTGAGACAATGTGGTCAGAGGTATCTGTGAAGCCACAAGACGAAGTATCTTCTTGTTTGAACGTAAGTGCTGAAATCAGCTCCCCAAGAATGGAAGCAGTGCATCTCTCTTCAGAAGCATTTCCAGGTAGAAATTCATCGCAATCCAGAGAATTAATAAAGTACTTATTTAACTCTTCAATTTAACTCTTCAATGTTTCTGTTGATACCTATGACTGTAATATAATCATTTTGGAAGCAGTGCATCTCTCTTAAATTTTCATTTGGTAACAAATTAATAAGTTCACAAACTAAGCAAGACCCACAAATCCAAACTTTTATGCTAAATTAATAACCTATGACTGTTATATGATCATTTTGGAGGTAAAAAAAAGCTAAATTAGCAAAAATAGGCAATCAAAGAACGAGGATTTCACCTGAGAATCGATTCAAAGAGAGTGGTCGGTGCTCGCGTCAGAGGAGTCGAGAGGAGCTGTCCAGATCTCATGGTTGAAGTAGCTGTCCGCCTCTCTTGGTCGGAGTTTCGTGGTCGAATCGGGGGAAGGGGGGAGAGGGATTGAAGGGGGGAGATGCTTGTTAATCGCTGGGAGAGCCCTAAATCTCGTGGTCGAAGGAATTTCGTGGTCGAATCGGGGGAAGGGGGAGAGGGATTGAAGGGGCAGACGGGTTAATCGCTGGGAGAACGGCAAATCTCGTGGTCGAAGGAGCTATCCAGATCTCTTGGTCGGCGGTTTCGTGGTCGAATCGGGGGAAGGGGGGAGAGGGATTGAAGGGGGAGATGGGTTAATCGCTGGGTGAGAGCTGAGGGATTGAAGGGGGAAGATGGGATAATCGGTGGAGAGAGAGCTGGGAGAGAGCGATTTAGGGCTGAGGAGATTTGAGATTTCACGATTTTTTTTGGGTCACGAGATTGCTTTTGTGACGGAAGAGACGGGGAAATTTTTCAAAAAACTCCCTGCAGCGCACAAAAAACGTGAGCTTGGCCAGGTTCACCCAGTATTCTCATATATATATATTTATATATATATTATTATATATATTATATTATATATTAATATATATATTATATATATATATATTATAATATTAATGCGTATACTTTGTACAAGCATAACAAAGTTATGGTTGGTAATGTATGTGTTCACATCTCCTCCACTCATTCAATATGGGACACATTCACATGGGTAATGGTGGATCGAGGATTGTGAACATTCACTACCAAGCACAAATTTGTGCTTGTTACAAGCATACTCATATTTCTCTCTCTTCTGTTCTCTCTCTTCTCTTTATAATATATTATATATATATATATATATATATGATCTCTCTCTCTCTCTTCTCTTCTCATCATATATACTATATATATATATTGTATATTAAATAATTATATATATAGAGAGAAGAAGAGAGAGAGATTAATGAGTCTCCTCTGTCTAGGAGCGGGACTTTCTCCTATGACGCTCTAAAATCACAATGATTGAGCGATTATATGATGATCCGCTCCGTGAACATGATTACATATTCTAAACCGCCAAACACAGTTTGGGTGAATCCGTCGGTCGTTTGACCCTCCATCGAGCCATGTGAAAAGTTCTATTCATTCAAACCAGTTAAAATTGATACAGTGCGAGAAGCGGATCAGCGACGCGGGTTACCCAAACTTGATGTGTTGCGGTTTAGAATATGTAGATTCAAGTTAACGCGAGCGGATCATCCATAATGTCGCTCATCATGTGATTTAGAGCGTCTATACGGAGGAAATCTCCTCCTATGACGAAGAGATCCCATTAATCTCATATAGTATATATATATAATATTTATAATATTATAATTATATATATATATATAATATATATAATTATTATATATATAATATATATATACTATATATATATATATATGCTATTTAGTCTAAATTTCCACGCAAATTTTCGCGTAACTCGGCTCCGTTTGCTTTTAGGCCATTCACCACGGAATGAGGCTTACTTAGCTAACATAAATAGGTTTTAACGTAATATAATAGTATCAAAGGTTCGAGGAACAGGTCCAGCGAAACTTAGTATTTGCTCCAATGGTCCAGTGGAGTAAAAATTAGCTGTAGTCATCTTAACGTTAAAGCATACACTAATCAAGTGATCAACTCTCATCAATGATTCTCTTTCCAGAGAAAAATAGCCATCTTTATTGACCAGACCTCTTTTGCTCAGAGCGTCTACCTATGTGCCTTTTCCTATACTCCTTTTTTGTAGTCACAAAATATAATCATGATATCCCAAATTAATATCTTTATTGAAATGGGAATTGTATCCCACCGCTTCAATAACGGTCCTAGAAATACTAATGGTGCTGACACTAGTAGAAAAACGAACAATCTAGACGGAACAACCTAGACGGAAAAAATTTCCATCTAGGTTGAGTCAATCTAGACGGAATTTTTCCGTCTAGGTTGATTAGTCTAGATTGCGTTAAACTAGACAGAAAATTCCGTCTAGTTTGACAAATAAGACGGAAAATCAACCTAGACGGAATTCCGTCTAGGTTGCCTAGGGCAACCTCACTTCAGACTACATTACCAGATGAAATTATTATCCATGCACAACGTCCTTATCACGAAGTGAGATGTTATAATGAGTATTTGGTGAATAGATATAAATTTCGAACGTTAGAGACCGATGATAGGAGGATAACTCAGAACAGTGGGGTCATGGGCTTGTTTGCTCAAGAATGTTTTTCAAGTATAAGAGATCAGAATCCAATTCTAGCTGACATATTATATTATGGCCAATTAGAAGATATTGTTGAGATAATTTACGGGTTTGGTTGAGATAATTTACGGGTTTGGTAAACCAAAACAATGTACTTACACGATGTTCAAGGTTCGGTGGTGTCCTGCAAAAAAGCAAAAGGATCATTATGGATTTACACTAGTCAATCTTCACCGAGAAGTATATACGGATGAGAAATATATTTTCACAGAACAAGCTGATCAGTGCTTCTTTGTGAAAGATCCGAATGTCATGTCTGATTGGGTGGTTTTGTACAAGGAGCCAAGATCTGTTGTTCTTCCTAATAACAATGAAAAAAAATATTGAAGAAAGTAAAGATAATTATAGTGAACCAATTGGTTCATCAGATGATGCTTGGCAAGAATTCTCTTACGCACAGAATGTGGCGCAGGATGTAGGTATGAACTATATATGTTACACCACATTTTCGATTTTTATCTTTTCATAATAAAAACAATAATGCATTTCATAACAACATATCTCATGAGCATGTATACAATTTTTTCTTAACAATTGTCTTTATTAAATTTGCAGATGAGGAGGAGGATTAGGAGGCTCTTTGACCAGTCGGCTGATCGATCACGGAGTATCACCCCGGGTAGTGGTGCTGATAATACACTACCATCTCTGGATGCAGGTATAAAAATTAATTAATACTTTAATATATTTTATAAATTTTTAGTTATCTAGCTCATAGTGTTCATTTGTTGTAGATGCGGGATATTCATCACCCGACGGTTCTGATGCAGCACCAGAACCATCCCCCGACACAGGTATTAAATATTTAATAATTGATAATGGTCAATTAAAATTTAATATTAATGATTCTTTTTTCTTATGTAGGTGCTACTTGGACCCCGACATATCCATCATATACATTCCATATTGACTTGCGGCCAAAGACACAGGACTATCTCAGTTTACCCTTACCTCCGGACTCTCATAAGTCTAAGGCTGACTCAAGGAAGTATCACCCACGTGCTGCGAGAAAGTTACAGGAAATGCTTCCTATGTTGGAGACTAGGAAAGCTGATGCACTCGCAGCAAAAGAAAGAGAGATAGCGAATGGTAAATTATATAAATACTTTTAATTTTCACATTTGTATATTATATGATATATTATCATGTTGTTATTATTGTAGGTGCTAAGTCAGATCGCATAGAGGGACGACGTGGCGGAGGTAAGTCTGACTCTAAACAACCGCCAAGAGGAATGAGAGCCATTATTAGGTGGAATAGTTCTAATTTGCCCGTTGGTCCTTGGTTGACCCGCTTGAATGCATATATTGGGGTTCTCGTACGTAGAGCGACCATTATCAACCCTTATTTTCATTTTCGAGAATTACCATGGACCGCATACGAGGCGATATGGACTGAGCTTATGGTAAGTGCATATTGTTTTAGATTTTCATTTATTAATAATTAGTAATTGATATTAAATTATCCTTACTAAATGTGTATGTAAATCTACAGGACTGCTTCTGCCTTGAGGACTTTGAGGGGGCTTGGAATTATGTGTTTAATGTCAAGGTTGAAGCAGCCCTCAAACAATGGAGGCATGAGATCAAACATGAAACCTATGACAGGTATGAGGAGGACTGGCAGAGGTTTTTAAACCTCGATGACCGAGTTGACGAGATTCATTTCACGGCTCTCCTCATGTATTGGGACAGCGATGCCGCCAAGGTTAGTTTCATGAAATTTAGTTTATAATTTTAAGATATTATTTTATTTTATATTTACAAATTTTTTTTAAAGAATAAATCCATGAATGAGTCAGAAAATAGAAGAAAGAAGCTGCATGACCATCACTTGGGCTCACACTCCTACGCCAATCTGGAGGATGTTTATTGTCAGGATACGATATATGTCATTTAAAGATTTAAAAGATCTTAATGTTTAGTATGATTATGAAATCTCAAAATCTATAATATGACAGGGGAAATCATTAATGCCGATACACTTGAGGGCAAAAGTGGCATATGGTACTTTACGTGAACAATATAGGGGTGATAAGAAGAATCGGGATAAGATCACGGCAAATCTCGAGTTAGTGGTGAGACTTATACATATCTTGAGTAGTATTATTAATTCTATTTTGTTAACATTACGAGGAAACGAGAACACAAATAATATGGTCATTATCTTGAATTAACTATAAATTTGTGCTTTAGGAGGGATTTGAGACCGCATCCAAGGAGGCTGCATCTGTCTACATTTCGCAGGAGGAGGAACAAACCGAGCCAGACCCTCACATGCTTTCTGCAGAGGAGAACATCAATCTCACACAGAACCTGATGGGTCATAATAGGTAAGGATGGTGAAAAATCGAATCAATTTGAATACTACATACTATTTATATTTGTTTACCATTATTGAATTTGAGAGCAAAGTTTAATATTTATTTCTCCCTAATAATAGGAGAGGAAGATATCCTCTACATGGTGTCGGAGCTTCACCCGGTATAAGCATTAGATCGTCCACAACATCCTCCACACCATCTACATCGATAAGAGCAGCCACAAGCAGTTTCTAGGCTATGCCATTTGTCGCACGTATCTCTGCGTATCTGATTAACAAAATTGACCCGGAGCTGCATATTCAGGTGACTAATGAGATGACTAGAGTTGCGCTGACGGCGAACTCGATGGACGATCTCATGTGGTATGTTATACAATATTTAGGCGGTGCTATTCCTTATAGCACGTATGGTGGTATCATACGGATCATTAGCTCGATTGGCGATAATTCCAGCGCTAGACAGAGTAATGC